GTAGCTCACCGGTGGGAGGAAGAGAACCAGAGCAGGGAGGAAGTAGAAGCCAGAATTGTGAAATACAAAGCCCTGGATATTACTCCAGGAATGCAAACCCACACTGCATGGTGCTCTGGAGAATAGAGGGGTTGAAAAGCAAGACAGGTGGAATACTCAGAGAGACTCAGATTCCAGTTACTAGTGGGGAACAGGTTCCCACAACCGGTTCCTCTGGGACAAAAGAAAGGCAGGTGCTTTGAAAGACTTCCTAACACTGAGTCTTCAGCTAAAGGGGAAAGGATTGCACACAGCTTGCTGATCAGGAGAAGGAACAGGTGGACAAAATCATGTCAGCGCACTCAGTTCAGCAGCTTAGGAACTTTCAACAGCTTCAGGCACTCCATCTGCCTGGCTGGCAATGCAGCTCCAAGGCCCACCACCATGATATGCAGCCTGCTGCTCCTTCCTCTTGGCTGGCACCTGCACCCAAACCTGCTGACCCCACCATCGCACAAGGCCAGCAGGAGGGCAATCCCGCCTACTGCAGCTACAGGGGCTTAACACAGAGGCTGTGCTTTGCATGCACAGCTAACTGGCCCTGACAGCGGAGGCAGGCATTAGCGCAAGGAAGCAGAAAACAGCTCTGTTCTGCCAGCAGGCACCAGCAACACTCGACTGCAACCCTCCACTGCTCCAGATGTTGGGCAGCTCTGAAGAGCAGAGCTTCTGGACACTAGAAGGGATTGCCTACACAAACCTTTAATCAGCATTATCCAATAGGATTATGAAAAGGCCGAAAACCTTGTTCAATCCAAAATCCCTCAAACACCAGAAAGAGGGCTCAGTGAAGCTGAAATCACCGATCAAACTTAAAAAGATTTCAAATTAGAAATCATAAACATGCTAATGAGCTAAAGAAATATATTCAAGATCTAAGGGCAAATTCAAGGGAGACATAGAATTCTTTGAAGAATACAGTATCTGCAATGAAACACACAATGGAGGAATTTAAAAGCAGACTAGAAGAGGTAGAGGAGAGGGAAAATGGAACAAAAATTAGAAAACGGGAATATAAAGAAGCTTAGCTAGAGAGAGAAAAATGATCTCTAGGAATGAAAGAATAAAAAGGCAACTCTCTGACCAATCCAAATGGAACAATATTTGTATTATAGGGGTATGAGAAGAAAAGGAGAGTGAAAGAGGTAGAAAGTGTCTTTAAAGAAATAAATAACTGAAAACTTCCCCACTTTGGGGAAGGAAATGGTCTCTCAGGAAATGGAGGTGCACAGATCTCCCAATATAAAGGACCCAAGGGAGACAACACCAAGACATACAGTAATTAAAAGGGCAAAGACCAAGGACAAGCACAGAGTATTAAAAGCATCCAGAGAGAGAAAAAAGACCACCTACAAAGGAAAACCCATCAGGCTATCATCAGACTTCTCAGTAGAAACCTTACATGCCAAAAGAGAGTGGCATGATATATTTAATGCAATGAAACACAAGGCCCTTGAACCAAGAATATGTACCTGGCAAGATTTTATCATTTAAATTTGAAGCAGAGATTAAACAATTTTCAGATAAGCAGAATTTGAGGGAATTTACCTCCCACAAACCATCTCTACATTGTACTTTGAAGGGACTGCTCTAGATGGAAGTGCTCCTAAGGCTACTTAGCTGTGACCAGAAAAAATAAAACCACCGTAAATGAAGTAAACCAATTAATTACTAACCAAATGCAAAACTGAATGAGCTGCTCACAAAATCAGTCAGGGGATACCCAAAAAGGACAGAATATGAAACCTAATATATAAAGAGTGGAGGAGGAAGAAAAGGAAAAGAGAAAAAAAAAGAATCTTAGTGTTTATAATAGGATAATAAGAGAGTTAAGTTAGACTGTCAGATAGTAAAGAAACCACCCTCGAATCTTTGGTAACCACAAATTCAAAGTCTGCAATGGCAACAAGTACATATCTATCAATAAGCACCCTAAATGTAAATGGACTGAATGCACCAATCAAACGACACAGAGTTACAGAATGGATAAAAAAGAAGACCCATAAAGGAGCCATGGATATACAGTGCAGAAATGACAGCCTCTTCAACAACTGGTGTTGGCAAAACTGGACAGCTACATGTAAGAGAATGAAACTGAATTACTGTCTAATTCCATACACAAAAGTAAACTCGAAATGGATCAAAGACCTCAATGTAAGTCATGAAACTATAAAACTCTTAGAAGAAAACAGGCTAAACTCTCTTGAATATAAACATGAGCAACATTTTCCTGAACACATCTCCTTGGGCAAGGGAAACAAGGCAAAAATGAACAAATGGGATTATATCAAACTAACAAGCTTCTGTACAGCAAAGGACACCATCAGTACAACAAAAACACATCCTACGGTACGGGAGAATATATTCATAAATGACATATCTGGTAAGGGGGTAACATCCAAAATATATGAAGAACTCAAATGCCTCAACACCCAAAAAGCAAATAACCTGTTTTAAAAAATGGGCAGAAAATCTGAACAGACACTTGAAAGAAGAAATTCAGATGAACAACAGGCACATGAAAAGATACTCCACATCGCTACTCATCAGGGAAATACAAATTAAAACCACAATGAACTATCATGTCATACCAGTTAGGATGGTCAACATCCAAAAGACAAGCAGCAACAAATGCTGGCAAGGATTTGGACAAGGGCAACCCTCCTACACTGTTGGTGGGAATGTAAATTAGTTCAACCATTGTAGAAAGCAATATGGAAGTTCCTCATAAAACTAAAAATAGAAATACCATTTGACCCAGGAATTCCACTTCTAGGAATTTACCCTAAGAATACAGTAGCCCAGTTTGAAAAAGACAAATGCACCCCTATATTTATAACAGCACTATTTACAATAGCCAAGAAATGGAAGCAACCTAAGTATCCATCAGTAGATGAATGGATAAAGAAGATGTGGTACATATATACAATGGAATATTATTCAGCCACAAGAAGAAAACAAATACTACCATTCGTAACAACATGGATGGAGCCAGAGGGTATTATGCTCAGTGAAATAAGCCAGGAGATGAAAGACAAGTACCAAATGATTTCACTCATCTGTGGAGTATAACAACAAAGCAAAAAGTGAAGGAACAAAACAGCAGCAGACTCTCAGAACCCAAGAATGAACTAGTAGTTACCAATGGGAAAGGGGATGGGGAGGATAGGTGGGAAGGGAGGGAAAAGGAGATTAAGGGGTGTTATGATTAGCACACATAACATGGGGGGGGCACAGTGATGGCAGTGTAGCATGGAGAAGACAAGTAGTGGCTCTACAGCATTTTACTACGCTGATGGACCATGACTGTAATGGGGTATGTGGTGGGGATTTGATAATAGGGGGTAAAGTCGTAAGCACATTGTTGCTTATATGAAACCTTCATAAAATTGTATATCAATTATATCTTAGTAAAAAACAAACAAACAAACAAAAAAACCCACACAGGTATCTTTTTCTAAGCTGGACATTAAAGAAACTACAAAAATTGTAAAACAGTAGTCTTCATCTACAGATAATTTAGTCCCTTAAGGGACATTTGGTGAGGTCTAGAGATATTTCTGGTTGTCACAACTAGGGAAAGTGCTATTGGCATCTAGGTTCAGATGCCAAGGATGCTACTTGCATCATCATACAATGCACAGGAGAGCCCAACAAGAAAGAATTATTCGGGCCAAAATTTTAATACTTCCAAGGTTGAGAGACCCTGAAGGAAAAGAATACTACTCTTCTCAATTTTTAGGGGGGAGGGGAACAGTTATTTTTTATAAATTATGTTACCCATATTAACCTGTAATGGGTTTATTATTGTATATTTATTTTTCTCATTTTTTTTATTGAGGCATATACAATAAAATGCACAAATCTTGGTGCATGATGCAATGAACTGACATGTACATACAATCATGTAACCTTCACCCAGATCAAGACATCAAACATTTTCACTAATATTTCCCCATTTCACCCATTTCACCCATCCCAACCCTTTCCTCCTATAGCAATCACCAGTCAGTTCTCTGTATCTATGAGCCTCTTTCTGTTCTGCTTTCTTTTTTAGATTCCATACATAAGTGAAATCTTATGGCATTTCTTTTTCTGATTTATTTCACTTAGCATAATACCCTTGAGATTCATCCATACTGTCAGAAAGATCAAGATTTCATTCTTTTTTATGGCTGAGTAATATTCCATTTGTATATATACTTCTTTTTTATCTATTCATCTATCAATGGACATTTAGGTTGCTACCACATTTTGGCTATCGTAAACAATGTTGCAGTAAACATAGGCATGCATATATCTTTCTGAATTAGTGATTTTGTTTTCTTCAGGTAAATTCCCAGAAGTGGAATTGCTGGGACATATGGTATTTCTATTTTTTGTTTTTTAAGAAACCTCCATACTGTTTTCCACAGTGGCTACACCAATTTACAATCCCACCAGCAGTGTATGAAGATTCCTTTCCCACATCCTTGCCAACACTTTTTATTTCTTGTCTTGTTGATATTAACCAGTCTGTTTGCTGATTGGTGTGAGGTGATTATCTCATTGAGGTTTTGATTTGTATTCTTATAATTTTATATAAATTAATAAACACTTTCCAACTTTCTTAGTTCTAGTTTACAATAAATATAATAGATTAACACATAAGCAAGTTATTTGGGGTCATCAATAATTTTTAATAGCATAAAGCAGTCCTGTGAGCAAATAGTTTGAGAACCACTGAATAAGAAGAATGGTATAATTGACCAAGTATGTTGGTGAAAATAATAGGAATTAAAAGAACCTAAAGAACAATGTACTCATTTGGATGACTAAAGCAAACATAAAACCCTATAAAACCAAATAGTTAAAAAGAAAAAAATTACAATAGACCAAAATGTCATTCTCCTCTTGAAAAAACAAAACACAACACCATCACCACCACCACAAAGAAACTTATGAAAAGCACAACTTGTTACCCTGGTTATGGGGACTTGCTGGACTGAAAGGTGGCTGATACAAATCTCTGGTTGGCGTGGGGTAGGCTTCTTTCCCTTGGCGCTGACTCATCTTTGCTGGTGTCAGAAGTTGAGATTCGTCACTGTTTGCTACCACAGCTCAAGTGAAGAAATGAAAAAAGAATTAGTACCTAAACCATAGATTTACATAATGGCATAGTTAATAATATGGAATAGAACTATGATTGAAATGACCTCAAACGTTATATTTATTTTACCAATGAAAAATAATTTAGTAAGTTTGCATAATTGTTTTAATTTTAGATTGCTATCAATGAAAGAGGAATTAATAGATATGCATGAGTTAAATTATACAAATCACAGATATTGTAAAAATGAAAACACATATTTAACTAATCATGAGAGGTACTCCAAGGTGGACCTTTCATTCTACTATTCTTTATATTTGCCAATAGAGCAATAAGCAAAAGACAACTTCACTTCACAGAAATATAATTCACCAATAAAAATATGAAAAGATACTCAACCTCGATAGTAATCAGAAAAAATACAAATTAATGGCAATATAAAATATTTTACATTCACTATAATTTCTATTCTAGTTTCCAATTTCCATGGGAAGTAGGTATGACTTCTGTTTTGGAGATGGGTAAATTTCAGGTTCAGACATTGCTTTACCTAAGACTAAGAAATACACATAAGATTCTAACTCAGGACTACTTGGTCTCTTAAAGGCTTCTTGTCCCAATAATCAATTTAAACAGTGTTTAAAGCTGCTGTTCACTACTCTGGCCAAGCTACTAATAGAGAAGAGCAATGCCCAGCTCCATAGAGGTCAGAAGAGAGAAAAATACTCAAAAAAAGAATAGAGCAAAATGCAAGAAAGTCCATAGTACCCTAGGACCTCCACATTCTTTCATTATGTTTCTGGGCATCCAGCCTACAACTTTAGTTTTATCTTGTGAGAGAATGATTCTGTCTCCATAGCAGATATAATTTTTATTCATATTATCATCGTGATTTTTTATATTTTTTAAATTTTTTTATTAAGGTATCATTAATATACAATCACATGAGCAATACTGTGATTACTACATTCCTTATTATCAAGTCCCCACCACATACCCCATTACAGTCCCTGTCCATCAGCATAGTAAGAATGCTATAGAGTCATTACTTGTCTTCTCCATGCTACACCACCTTTGCTGTGCCCCCCTATATTGTGTGTGCTAATCATAACACTCCTTAGTCCCCCTTACCCTCCCTTCCCACCTGCCCCCCTCATCCCCTTTTCCATTGGTAACTGCTGGTCTGTTCTTGGATTCTGAGAGTCTGCTGCTGTTTTGTTCCTTCACTTTTTGCTTTGTTGTTATAATCCACAGATGAGTGAAATCATTTGGTACTTGTCTTTCTCCTCCTGGCTTATTTCCCTGAGCATAATACTCTCTAGCTCCATCTATGTTGTTGGAACTAGTAGTTCTGTTTCTTCTTATGGCTGAAGAACATTCCACTGTGTATATGTACCACATCTTCTTTATTCATTAATCTATTGATGGATACAGGTTGCTTCCATGTCTTGGCTATTGTAAATAGAGCTGTGATAAACATAGGGATTCAAATGTCTTTTTGAATCTGGGATCTTGTATTCTTTGGGTAAATTCCTAGGAGTGGAATTCCTGGGTCAAATGGTACTTCTAGTTTTAGTTTTTTGAGGAAACTCCATATTGCTTTCCACAATGGTTGAACTAATTTACATTCCTACCAACAGTGTAGGAGGGTTGCCCTTGTCTGCATCCTTGCCAGCATTTCTGTTGCTTATCTTTTGGATGTTGTCTATCCTAACTGGTGTGAGGTGGCATCTCACTGCAGTTTTAATTTGCATTTCCCTGATGAGTAGCGATGTGGAGTATCTTTTCATGTGCCTGTTGGCCATCTGAATTTTTTCTTTGGAGAAGTGTCTGTTTAGATCCCCTGCCCATTTTTTAAAATAGGTTATTTGCTTTTTGGGTGTTAAGGCACATGAGTTCTTTACATATTTTGGATGTTAATCCCTTACCGGGTATGTCATTTATGAATATATTCTCCCATACCATAGGATGCATTTTTGTTCTGCTGATGGTGTCCTTTGCTGTACAAAAGCTTGTTAGTTTGATGTAGTCCCATTTGTTCATTTTTGCTTTTGTTTCCCTTGCCCAAGGAGATGTGTTCAGGAAAAAGTTGCTCATGTTTATATTCAAGAGAGTTTTGCCTATGTTTTCTTCTAAGAATTTTATGGTTAAGTTAAGAATTTATGGTTTCATAACTTACATTGTGGACTTTGATCCATTTCAAGTTTACTTTTGTGTATGAATTAGACAGTAATCCAGTTTCATTCTCTTACATATAGCTGTCCAGTTTTGCCAACACCAGTTGTTGAAGAGGCTGTCATTTCTGCATTGTATATCCATGGCTCCTTTATCGCATATTAATTGGCCATATATGTGTGGGTTTATATCTGAATTCTCTAATGTATTCCATTGATCTATGGGTAGCTTCTTGTGCCAGTACCAAATTGCCTTAACATGGCTTTGCAGCAGAGCTTGAAGTTGGGGAGCATAATACCGCCAGATTTATTCTTCCTTCACAGGATGGCTATTCGGGGTATTTTGTGGTTCCATGTGAATTTTAGAACTATTTGTTCTAGTTCGTTGAAGAATGCTGTCAGCATTCTGATATGGATTGCACTGAATCTGTATACTGTTTTAGACAGGATAGCCATTTTGACAATATTAATTCTTCCTATCCATGAGCATGGAATGTATTTCCATTTATTAGTGTCTTCTTAATTTCTCTCAAGAGTGTCTTGTAGTATTCTGGGTATAGGTATTTCACATCCTTGGTTAGACTTATTCCGAGGTATTTTTTTTTTGATACAATTGTGAATGGAACTGTTTTCCTGATCTGTCTTTCTCCTAGTTCATCATTCGTATATGTGAATGCAACAGATTTCTGTGTATTAACTTTGTATTCTGCAACTTTGCTGAATTGAGATATTAGTTCTAGTAATTTTGAAGTAGACTGTTTAGGGTTTTTTTTATGTACTATATCATGTCATCTGCAAACAGTAACTCCACTCACTCTAAAAGACAGACCAATTAACTTCCTTACCGAACTGGATACCTTTTATTTCTTTGCATTGTCTGATTGCCGTCACTAGGACTTCCAATACTATGTTGCATAGAAGTGGGGAGAGAGGGCATCCATGTCTTGTTCCTGATCTTAAAGAAAAAGCTTTCAGCTTTTCACTGTCAAGTATGTTGGCTGTGAGTTTGTCATATATGGCCTTTATTATGTTGAGGTACTTGCCCTCTATACCCATTTTGTTGAGAGTTTTTATCATGAATGGATGTTGAATTTTGTCAAATGCTTTTTCAGCATCTATGGAGATGATCATGTGATATTTGTCCTTCTTTCTGTTGATGTGGTGGATGATGTTGATGGATTTTCGAATGTTGTACCATCCTTGCATCCCTGGGATAAATCCTACTTGATCATGATGGATGATCTTTTTCATGTATTTTTCAATTCAGTTTGCTAATATTTTGTTGAGTATTTTTGCATCTATGTTCATCAGGGATATTGGTCTGTAATTTTCTATTTTTGTGGTGTCTTTGCCTGGTTTTGGTATTAGAGTGATGCTTGTCTCATAGAATGAGTTTGGAAGTATTCCCTCCTCTTCTACTTTTTGGAAAACTTTATGGATGGATATTAGGTCTTCTCTTAATGTCTGATAAAATTCAGCAGTGAGGCCATCTGATCTGGGAGTTTTGTTCTTGGGTAGTTTTTTGATTATCAATTCAATTTCATTGCTGGTAATCGGTCTGTTCAAATTTTCTGTTTCTTCCTGGGTCAGTCTTGGAACGTTGTATTTTTCTAGAAATTTGTCCATTTCTTGTAGGTTATCCAGTTGGTTATCATATAATTTTTCACAGTACTCTCTAATAATTCTTTGTATTTCTGTGGTGTCTATAGTGATTTTTCCTTTCTCATTTCTGATTATGTGTGTGGACTCTCTTTTTTTCTTGATAAATCTGGCTAGGATTGTATCTATTTTGTTTATTTTCTCAAAGAACCAGCTCTTGGTTTCATTAATTCTATTGTTTTATTCTTCTCAATTTATTTTTTTCTCTGATCTTTATTATGTCCCTCCTTCTACTGACTTTGGACCTCATTTGTTCTAATTTTTCTAGTTTTATTAATTGTGAGTTTAGACTGTTCATTTGGGATTGTTCTTTTTTCTTGAGATAGCCTGTATTGCTATATACTTCCTCTTAAAACTGCCTTCGCTGCATCCCACAGAATTTGGGGCATTGAACTGTTGTTTTCATTTGTCTACATATATTTCTTTAACTGTTCTTATTTTGTCATTGATCCACTGATTATTTAGGAGCATACTGTTAAGCCTCCATGTGTTTTTGGGCCTTTTGTTTTCTTTGCAATTTATTTCTCATTCCATATCTTTATGGTCTGAGAAGTTGGTCAGTACAATTTCAGTCTTTTTAAATTTACTTATGCTCTTTTTGTGGTCTAGTATGTGACCTATTCTGGAAAATGTTCCATGTGCACTTAAGAATGTGTATCCTGTTTCTTTTGGGTGGAGTGTTCTGTAGACATTTGTTAGATCCATCTGTTCTAATGTGTTGTTCAGTGCCTCTGTCTCCTTACGTATTTTCTAACTGATTGCTCTGTCTTTTGGAGTGAGTGATGTGTCGAACTCACCTAAAATGAATGCATTGCATTCTATTTCCCCCTTTAATTCTGTTAGTATTTTTTGCACATATTTAGGTGCTCCTATGTTGGGTGCATTGATATTTACAATCATTATATCGTCTTGTTGGACCACTCTAATGTTATATAATGTCCTTCTTTGTCTCTTGTTTCTTTGTTTTGAAGTCTATTTTATCTGATATAAGTACTACAACTCCTGCTTTTTTTTCTCTATTATGTGTATGAAACATCTTTTCCATCCATTCACTTTCAATCTGTGTATGTCTCTGGGTTTGTAGTGAGTCTCTTGTAGGCAGCATATAGATGGGTCTTGCTTTTATATCCATTCTGTAACTCTATGTCTTTTGATTGGTGCATTCAGCCCATTTACA